TACAGAAATCTTATCACCCTGTAGGTCCTTTACTCTTTTCTCTGTATGTTGTAATTGTCTTGTGCTACATTTACATGCATTGGAAATTCTGTTAGAAAGTGTTGTGATGTTTGCTTTTAATTGCCAAACATTTTAAAGAATTCTAGAGGAGGATAGTTAGTTATATTTATCCAGATATTTATCACTTCTGTTGCTCTTTTTTCATTTCTCATGTTGTATTTAAGGATGATTTCACTAGATTGAGGATTCTAGGTTTACAGTTCTTTTCTATTTTAAGCACTTCAAGAATATTGTTCCACTTTCTCTGGTCTATGTAGTTTCTTTTCTTTTTCTTTTTTTTAAGATTTTATTTTTTTTTTTCAACGTTTATTTATCTTTGGGACAGAAAGAGACAGAGCATGAACGGGGGAGGGGCAGAGAGAGAGGGAGACACAGAATCGGAAACAGGCTCCAGGCTCTGAGCCATCAGCCCAGAGCCCGACGCGGGGCTCAAACTCACGGACCGTGAGATCGTGACCTGGTTGAAGTCGGACGCTTAACCGACTGCGCCACCCAGGCGCCCCTAAGATTTTATTTTTAAGTAATCTCTACACTTGATGTTGGGCTCCAACTTAAAACCTCGAGATGAAGAGTCACATACTCTTCCAACTGAGTCAGCCAACTGGCCCTGGATAAATGTAGTTTATGATGAGATGTCACTAGTTATTCAAATCATTAACCCACCTTCCCCTCATAATTAATTCCTTGTTTTTTCAGTCTGCTTGCAAGATTTTTTTTTATTTGTAACTTTTAGCAGTTTGACTGTGATATGTCTAGGCATGATCATTATCCTGTTTGGAGTTTGTGAGACTCTTGAATTTAGAGGTTTATATATCTTCACCAAATTTGGGAGTTTCTGGCCATTATTTCTCTTCGTCTTCCTTTTTTTGTGCTGCACTCATTTTCCTCTGCTCGGACTCTTGATGTGAATGTTAGGGTTTTAGTGTTCTCCCACAGGTCCCTGAAGCACTGATAGTTTTTTCAGTATTTTTTCTGTTGTTCACATTGGGTACCTTCTTTTGATCTGTCTTCAAGTTCACTGACTTTCTACTATTGAGTCCAGTATATTTTCTATTTTAGTTATTGCATTTTTCAGTTCTAAAATTTCCATTTGATGGTTCTTTACGTATTCTTCTTTTTTTTTTTTTTTGCTGTGACTTTCCAGTTTTCAATTTGTTTCAAGAATATTTGCTCTAGAGCATTTTTATACCTGCTTTCAAGTCTTTGTCAGATAATTCATCCAGTGCTCTAATATCTGTGTTATCTTAGTGTTGTTTCTGTTGATTCTTTTTTCCCACAGGAGTTTTGAGATTTTTCTGTTCTCTCTGCCAAGTAATTTTGGTTTGTGTTTTGGAGATTTTGAACATTATGATATGAATCTTAGTGTCTTATTTAAATGATATGGAGAATGTTGAGATTTTTGCTTGGACAGGTAGTTGATTCAGTTGGATTTTAGGCCACAAGCTCCAGCCAGCTTTCTTTAGGTTGCAGTTTTAATCTGTTCTGTTTTCAAAAGCTTTGCAGTACTGTTTGGATTTTTCCCATATGTGTACTACCCAGTAGCCAATCTGACCTGCATGGGGGTTTATCCTATATTTTAGTCTTCAGAGCCTCCAGTATGCTACTTAGGGTTAAATCTATAGGTTTGCAGCTTAGGGGTGACCTAGGAGTTCATAAACAACTTATAAGTTGCTAAGTGCTTTCCTCTCTGTTATGTCCATGGTATTTTCTAGGTCCCTGGGACCTCCCCCCCCCATCCCTTTTGTATCCTCTGGCTAGAAACCCCAATCTTCATTTCATTTGTTCCACTGTGGTGCATATTTTCTACAGTTGTATCTGGAACCAAGTGCCAGAAGACAGGAGAAAAATTGAAATTATTCCAGTTTCTTCAGTCAGTGAAGATGGTCCCTTTCCTTAAGAGTTTTAGGCTCCTGCTGGCTCTGCTGTTGCCACTGTTGCAGCTGTCACCGTAAGATTGCTTGGGAATTGGGTTGTGGGGAGTGAAGAACAGAAGAAAGAAGAGATTTCCCTTACTCTTTCTAAGCAGTTAGGGGACTCCTTTTCTACTCTTTGGATAGAAATAGAGGGCTTTTTCCTAGAGCTTTTGCTTTCTCCATTGTTACCAACAGCCACTTTCTGGGTTTTAGGCTCCGTTAAGCCCAGGCTGGGGCAAAACTGGATGGGAAAAATTAAAAGCCCACTACCAGTTTGGTAATATATCAGATTCTGGGCTCTTCCCCAGTCTACCTGCTATTATTTACTTTCTAAATTTCAATTAGCTGCTCCATTTATTCTGTCTGGGTTTTATAGTTTCAGTCAGTGAGATTAACAAGGTGGAATGTGCTTACTCCATTTTACTCAGAATCAGAACTTCTCAGTTTACTTACCAATTTTGGAATGTAATGGCTACTTGAATCTCCTTATTTCGGTTAAATATGGTTTGTCAGTTACATTTTTTTTTTTTTTTAGTATATGTGTGATCTTGTGTGTAACAGTGTAACCTCTGTTAAGGAGATGATGTTACATTAAATGTAAAAGGAAATAGGAAATTTAATTTCTCTTTTAGAGCATAGCGTTCATGAACTCTTAATTTTCCATAATTATTTAACATTTGAAAAACTGTTTTCCTGTTTTCAGTTTAATCTATATTTTCTGCCTGAGGATTTCCGGCTTGCCTTTCACTTTGGAGATGTTTTATTCTTTATTCATTTTAACCTTTTAAAAATGCTTTGTTTCAATAATTAAGTTATAGGTCACTGTAAAGCTTAGTATGAGGTGGCATACCTCGTATTAGTTGACTCTTTTGGTTCTCACATGTTGCAGACACTGCACAAGAATTTTAGAGACATTCTGAAGCATATCTTCACTTCCTAGATTGCTATGTGAAGCTGATTTTGTTATAAGACTGGTAAGTGTAGATGACTTCATCTTTTTTATTTTCAGTTTACTTGCTAAGCAACAAGATACGAGATTATTTGTTCATCAGTGAATAGTGCTTGGAAAACAAGCTTTTTTTCTGGATAGAGGCCTAGAACCAAGGAATTGAATATGAGGTTCCTAGAAATTCCTGTTGTTGATCAGCTGCTGACAAGCAACCAAGTCACTAATAATCTTCTCAAAAACTGACCCAGAAAGTATTTCTAGGGACCAATGTGCAGTAGTAACTTAAAGCAGAGCTCGTGGCTTATCTGTTCAGGCCGCTATAATAAAATACCACAAACTGGGTAGCTTATAAGCAATAGAAATTTATTTCTCATAGTTCTGGTGGCAGGAGGGTTGGGTGAGGGCCTCTTCCATGTCACAGACTTAACCCTTGCATCCTCGTGTGGTAGACTGGGCTTCGGATCTCTCTTAGCCTCATTTATAATACAGGCCCTAATCTCATTCATGAGGGTTCTACTTTTTATGACTTAAGCACTTTTGAAAGGCTCCACTTACTAACATCATCACCTTTAGGAGTTAAGATTTCAGCATATGAATATGAATATGAATTTTAGGGGATGCAAACATTCAGACCATAACAGCGTGTAAATGAACCCACTAAAACTAAAATTAATTCAAAGTATTGCATTTCATATCCATTTCAGTTTTACTGTTGATAGTTATAAAGTTCGGGTGAAATTGAAGCTATAGGTAGAAATGAAAATTTTGTTGCTGTTTTTGTAAATTTAGATATCATAATTTGTTGGTTCTTTATTGTACTTTCTGGTCAAAAATTTTATTTTTAACTGAAAAAAACGTGATGTTGAAAAAATACATAACTGTTGTGAGCACGAATAAAGAGAAATTGGTGTGTTAAAAGAATGAACATTTTGTTTATTAAAGACCTGTTATTTTTTTAAATTTATGATGTTCAGTTAGATAATTCATATACTCGGATAATTGCATTGAAATGTATTATTTTATAAAATTTGAAGAAAAAGATACTTCTATCAGTATGTATGTCCCAACCATTAATCTGAAAAACTTTTTTGGAGGATAAGCCTTCATGGTGTGCGTTCAGGCACAGTGGTGTCTTTTATGTTTGCCTGATGGTCATTTCCGTATAGGAAGTCTAACATCGTGAGAACTTCAACTTACCTGTGTATCCTTTCTTTGTTTTGAAAATTAAAATTCTGTCATGTTAAAATTGGTAATTCCAGTTCTGAGTCCTTTAAGGATGGAAATGCCACAGTGGTACAGAATGGTCAGGGGGTTAGAAAAATATACTTTTAAATCTTTTGGTCTCAGTTGGGAAGCCTTTTTTACAAATGCACATATGTTGCAAGGATTTGGTGTTCATTATGTGCTCCTGTTAAATCTTGTGCTTACCCCCATTACAGCACCTGGGTACTGCATTGTAACTGTTGGTTTCTGTTTTTGTTTTTGTCAGGTGTGTCAGTATGGAAGACCTAATGGTACCTAGAAAATAGGGGCACTGACTAAATATTTATTGAATGAAAAAATAAGTTAAAGACAAGCTGTAGGAAAGTGGGGAGTCTGGTGTAGGCCTATTTGAAAAAAGAGGGGAAAAAAGTGATTACTGGTTAAGTGTACTTAAGATCTGGAGTTGAGGAAGTAATTTAAATTCTAGTAGTTGTTAAATTTCTGTATGTTTTTCTAAATTGTCTTCATAGGTGATATGACCAGTCTATTAGTTGGGGTAGATTTTTTCTAATTCTCCATTACATTGTTTTCAATTGATTTTTTCCTGTATGCTGAAATGTGACTTCTTGTGCTTCTCTCACTAAACAAAATGTTATTATTATTTTTGCCTCCATTACCTGTTTGTATCTTCATATGTGAAGGCATAGGCTTAACTGTGTCATGCATTCTAAATAAATTATCACATTCAGGGCCTTCTGGAATAAATCATTCTTTATATTTTGTTGTTCTCTTTTATTCTAAACCCAAGATAAATATGGGAACAGCTGGGTGAAAGTGAAGTAAAATAGGACTGATTTTCATAATTCCCTCCGCAGAATCATTTGATGGAAAACTGATTGCATAACTGCTTGACCTGAAGAATTGTAAAGGTAAGAGAGCTTGTGAATATTTGTATATATATAAAAATATATTTGTATTTTTATATACATGGTTTGCTGGAGTTGCCATATTAAAACTGCTTAGTAGTGTTTTATCTCCTCTAATTATATAAAATAGGAAATATGATACAAAAATCCTAGGATTATTTTTTTGGAGTCCTAAACTTTGTCTTGCTTCAACCTTTTTACTTCTAGATAAATAGGAATTTTGATAAATACTGTCAGTATAGAATACAGAACGTATTTATCCTTGTATAAGATCTGTTTGAAAAGCAATTTGACGATTTAAATTTTGTGAACTTTTTACTCTTCACATTCGTTCTATATGTGGATATTTGAAATACAGAAGTTTTTTTAACAATGAAAATCTGTTCTTAGAGCATATAGGTTTACCAATCTTATATCGTATGGTATACCTAAGATTTTTGGGGTAGGGTGGTGTTCATGTTCTTGTGTTTGTGCCTCTGTGCTATTTGTTGAGTTCTTTTTTGCTAGTCTTGCTGCTTGGCACTTTAAAAGGATTATGTGATTATGTAATTTAGTCCTCATAATGACTGGTTACTACTGTTATCTCCATTTGATAGATGAGGAAACAGGCTTAAAGATGTTAAGGTCACTCAGCTAGTAAGTGGCAGACTAGTTGAAATTTGAACCTAGACAGGTTTCTTTGTAAAACCTGTACTTGAAGGGACATTCCTGTCTCTATACTGAACAGTACTAGTGTTAAACCTCCAGCAACCAACATGTAGGTTAGGGATATTTTAAACAAAAACTTGTCAGAATAGCCCATTAGAAGCAAAGAAGTGTACTTACAAAGTCTAATAAAATTATACAGTAGAAATCGGGTAGAAAAAACAAAACTTTGGGAGCATTTTGTAAGGGACTTAAAAATCAGCAGTGACAGTGTAGGACTGAGTTGATTATGTAGCAGAGAGACTGGAAAGGAAATAATTATTAAGCTGAAGGAGTTCATTGCCTTAACCCTACTCTGAAGTGAATTAGTTGGAGGCACTAGAGCAAATATCTGTGATAGTTTAAGCCAGAATGATAAAATTAATGTAGATAAATCAACAAAATCACAGAGCCTTCAGGGGAGTTTTAAAAGGAACTCAAGGACAACATTGCAGAACCATTGACTCAGATGTGTAATAAGTAACTGTTGTGCTAGAGTATGGGTTGAGTATGAATGTAGATAGATAGTTGCCTATGCTTAAGAAAGCTTGAAGAGTTCTCTGCAATGAGGGACTGAGCCACATCTGTAAACTTTCTATGGGAAGGGCCAAAATGTAGTTACCTTAGGCTTTGCAGAGTATATGGTTTCTGTCGTAACTATTCATCTCTGCCATTGTAGTGCAAAAGCAGCCTTGGTCAATATATAAAGGAATGAGCATGGCTGTGCTTTAACAAAACTTTATTTACAGAAATACTCAACCAGTTTTTTGACCACTGGTCTACCATAATGGATACTGTCCCTCCCTAGACATCAATAAAAAATAGCCTTCCTATGGTTTCTTCAGCTGAAAATAACATTATCAAAGGGAAGGTCAAATTTTTGAGTAGATGATTGGAAGGCTCTTAATGCCTTTATTTAAGACTGGAAATGGGATGGAAGATCCTGCATTTAATAGTAATGGTTCACATTTAAATGCTTATTACTGCTAGACAATGTCATGAGCACAAGTTTGCCTGACACCAGTGCCCAAGTCATTAATCACTGTAATATACCACTCAGAGTACCTTACTAAATACCCGCTCTTTTTTAATTGAATTTTTTGGACAGAGGATCGAATTTGGGGACTAGTTTATCTTGGATAGAAGATTGGAAATAAAGGAGAAAGAAAAATAGAGTATCTGAGAGAGGTTCTGGGAGTCACTGGATTCTCTGAATACCTTAGCCATGTGAATCAGCGCAGTATTTATATTTAGCATCTTCATGAAGATGTCCTTGGCATAAGTATACCCAACACAGGGCAGCTCTTACTTTTTCCCAATATCCCTTTCATTCAGACCTGGCTCCCATTTATCATATCTGTGCCCTTCATAATGGCAGGATTGGGTTTGGAAGTGGGGTGGGAAATAGAGTTAAACTGCCTCATAGCCTTTCATATGCCTTCTTTATTTGTACCCAAAGGATCTGATTGCACTTTTTTTTAATAAAACTTTTTTTAACGTTTATTTATTTTTGAGAGAGAGCGTGAGTGGGGGAGGGGCAGAGAGAGAGGGAGATAGAATCTGAAGCAGGCTGCATGCTTTGAGCTCTCAGCACAGAGTCTGACCTGGGGCTTGAACTCAGGAACTGCAAGATCATGACCTGAGCCAAAATCGGATGCTTAACCAACTGAGCCACCTAGGCACCCCGCCTTTTTTTTTTTTTTTTTTACTTTTTTTTAATTTTTAGAGAGCGTGCAAATGCGAAAGGGGCAAGGGAGAGAGAGAATCTCCCGATGTGGGTTTTGATCCCATGACCCTGGGATCATGACCTGAGCAGAAATCTAGAGTTGGATGCACAACTGACTGAGCCACCCCCTGCCCCTGATTGTACTCTTTTGACAGAATATTAGTAGACTGGATCAATTTAGTTGTTACTCAGAAATGTTATTTTGTATTTTTTCAGTCTTGTGTTTGCCTTTGTAGGGAAAACAAAGAAATGGGCAATTGACATTTTTATTACTCTTCCCTATTTTTCTGTTCTTAGTAGCACTAATAATAATGATGATAATAATAATAGCCATTTATTGCATGGCAGTGGAGCTGGGGTTTGAATCTAGGTCTAAGTCTTAACTAGGATGTTGATATCTTTAGATACCATGGACTTGCTTGAAGGACAGTAGGGAGGAAGCAAGAAGAGCGAGGTTTGAAGTTGAACTGGAGAGGGAAGAAATTCTGTTTTGTAGTAGATGGAAGGAAACAGGTTTTGGAAGAGAAAGAGGAGGAGGAGAAGGGAAGGATAGGAATTTTAAATGGAGCTAGCCACGGCTAAAATGTTTGGTTTCTATTACCAGGAACCTCTGGTCCCTTACCTGATTCCTTGAAACTGAGGTGCTTCAGTGACTACTACGATAGAAAATACACTGTTAGCATCTCACCTGTAACTTGAAACCATTTTCTATTATAGAGGATGGTAGTTATATCCTAGGGCTGTGCTGTACAGCACAGTAGCCAGTAACCACATTGGATTACTTAAATTTAAATTAATTAAAACCTAAATAAAATGAAAAATTTAATTCCTCAGCTGTACTAGACTCATTTCAAGTGCTTGATTGAACAATTCCCCATTGGGCAGTCCTGTTCTAGAGAACTGAACTCTCTTCTGCACTGCTGTTAACTTGAATGCACTGTAATGGCTGGCCTGGGATTCTCACTTCCATGTATTCCAAGGTTTGTGTGGGAGAATGAGTTTTGAGTTCCTGAAAACTTATTTCTATCAGTGCTTTTTTTTTTTATTCCATGTCTAAAAGTTGATGGCTTTTATGATAAATTTTTTAAATTAAGTCATTCTTCCTAAACTTTTTATGAACATATTTGGAGTAGTATTTCAAATACATACAGAAGCAATATATAATGAAATAAAAAGGGTAACCTGGAAGATATAATTAAGATCATTATGGTAGGGGGACACCGGGGTGGCTCAGTAAGTTGGGTGTCCGACTTCGGCTCAGGTCATGATCTCACGGCTCTCGTGGGTTTGAGCCTGGTTGAGCTGTGCACTGACAGCTCAGAGCCTGGAGCCTGCTTCAGATTCTGTCTCCCTGTCTCTATGCCCCTCCTCCACTCACATTCTGTCTCTCTCTCCTTCAAAAATAAATAAACATTAAAAAAATTTTTTTAAAAAGATTATGTTACGGATCTTGGAAAGGTGGAACCTGGAAGAGACATTAAAGATTGAAATTTGTAAATTAAAGTCCTCTGAAAAGTAAACAGAATTAACCTAAAGCCAAGAATGAACAACCATTCTTTGAAATTTATTTGAGGTAAACCAAAATTAAAAGAAAATTTGGTTTAATTTATAGATAATTAATTTACCAGACTTAGCCAAACTCATAAGTAGTCTAGGTAGAATGTGACATGATTAAGAGTCATAAATAGTTAATATCATGAAATTGAGTTATATCTAACTTTTTGGGTAACCACAAGGAGGGATAGTCTTGCCGACCTACAGCTTATCTCTTAGGTTTTTTTTACTGACCACAGATTTTACTGGCTTAGGACCATGAGTCTGTATTGTATTCCTATGCTCGCTTTACTGGAAATTTAAAGCAAAATAGGTATTAAAAACCATGGATTCTTAGATTAAAAACTGGAATCTAGGCAGATAGAACAAATAAAAATGAACAAGTTAAAAGTTTATAAGTTGTTGAACTAAAACTTGTTGACTTTTATCTAGTGAAATTCTAAAACCCTTATCATTTTGAATGAATAAACTGGTAATGTGGCATAATTATTTTAAGTTATGACAGTAGTTATTTCATAATGTATTCAAGAAGAAGCACATAACTTGTAAGAATTTGGAACACAGTTTTTAAAGCAGATTTCTGACTTGAGGAAGGGCAGTCTGTAACTGATAAACTGTTGCTTATGTACTTCTTTGCATGAGTTAAAATAGAGAAGACAGTATTTACTGTAAAATTTTAATTATAATTTATATGTTAATATAAAAATACAAGCTTAATATTATTAAGGATGGAAATGTGAAAACAGCATAGATTAGACTATCCAATAGGACATAAATTATTTAGCTACATAAAGGAATGGTATATTGCATCTTTTGAGAACTGACTAGAACTTTAAAATATTCTTTTAATTTTCAAATTAACATTTTATCACATTTAATTAACTCTCAACTTAAATATTTTTTATTCTTAGATATTTAGGATGCCAGGGGAGATGGTATGGTATGAATTTCCTCAAATAAAGATTATACTCAAATATAGATCATACCAGGAGTTCAGTATGCCTGTAAAATCAGTTAAGTTGGGACTTTGTCTAGAACAATGTTTCTCAGGCTTTAACATAGATAATGAATCAGGTGTAAATCTTGATAAAATGCAGATGCTTATTCACTAGGTCTGGAGTGGTGCCTGAGGTATCCTGCTTTTGTAACAAGTTGTCAAGTGATAATGAATTGATGAAGTGATTCTGAATGAATATCAAGTAGAGTAACCTATGACTATCTGAATATTTTTAAAGTAATCTTCTGTCAATTCCACTGTTGTGGTTGCTCAGGTCAGAATACTTTAGAATTATCCTACAGTCTTACTCTCTAACACATCCTCGCATTCAGTCTGTCTAAAATTCTGATGGCTGTATTTTGAAAATAGCTGGAATTTGATCACTTTTCATCACCATTGCTACTATTCTGATATAGGCCACTGTCCCTCCCTAGATGACTAGTCTCCTTGCTTTTTCCTTGGCCACCACCTCTGCTTAAAACCTGCTACTGGCCCATGTCACTCAGAGAAGAAGCCAATGTGTTTACCTCAGCCTTTAAGGTGTTGCATGATCTTATTACCTCTCTGTCCTCATCTGCTACTTTCCCCCTTTTTCATTCTGTTCTAACTACACTTGTCTCCTTGTTTTTCCTTGAACATATCAGACCTGTCCCCCTCCCCCTGCCTTTAGACTTTCATATTTGCTGTTCTTTTCTGCCTAGAATGCAGGTCCTCTGGGTATTCACATAATTTTCTTTCTTGCTTCTTTCAGATTGCCAGTTAAAATGTCACATTATCAGAAAAGTTTTCCCTAAATACTTTGTATGAAATAACAGCTTCTCCACTCTCTCACTTATTAACCACACTAAGTGTATATTTATTTTATAATTGTATTATTTTATTTTCCTCAGCATCTCAGCATACTAGATATTTTAGTTTGTTTATTGTTTCTCTCCTACTTGAATGTAAAGGCAGGAATTTGTCTGTCTTGTTCAGTGCTATACTTAGACACTGACTAGAGTATACCTATGGCACTCAGTAAATCTTTGAATTAAAAAAAAAAAAAGCCCACAAGAAAGTCTTTGGACGTCTTTCTACCTCCCTTCAGAATAGCCCATTCCATTTGAAGGTTACTGCTGACCTTCTCCTTAAGCTTTCTGTTCTTCCAGGCTGACCATTCTACTACTTTACGTTTTTTGTGTATGACATAGTTTCCAAGGCTGTTAACCAGTTTAGTCCTCTTTCCTGGACATTTATCATTTTGTTGTTTCTAAACAACAGCATCAGAACTAAAACAAACGTTGCAAATGTACGCTGAGGGGGAAGTTTTCTCTTGTTTTTGACTTTCTGCCTTTATTAAGGCAGACTGTTATTAAATTAACTTTAAATTTTTTTTTAATGTTTATTTATTTTTGAGAGAGACAGAATGTGAGTGGGTTAGGGGCAGAGAGAGAGGGAGACACAGAATCTAAAGCAAGCTCCCAGACTCCAAGCTGTCAGCACAGAACCCAACGAGGGGCTGGAACTCACGAGCAGTGAGATCATGGCCTGAGCCGAGGTCAGACGCTCAACCGACTGAGCCACCCAGGTGCCCCTAAATTAACTTTTTAAAGTAATTCTAATCCTCACCGATTCTGGCTTTTTCATTCTACTAAAACCTCTAAATCATTCTTCTATGTTCTTATCTTCTGCTTTATAGTTGGTTTTTGAACCAAAGTATGGGTCTTTGCTTTTCTGCTTATTTAGCCTAGAAGAGAATTTTCCTGGGCAATACATACGTAATACAAAAATTACTTCATATAAATATGGGAGAATCATAACTGGTGAGATTGGGGATTTCTTGTGCCTAGATATTCCAAAATGTATTTGAACAGCTCATTGTAATAATCATGTGTCTTGCATCAATTCAAGAAAAAATTCTGAGTTGACTTAAAAAATAATTTAACCTCATAAACTTGTTCCCCTTGACTAACAAATTAATTTCCTTCCCCATGTTTCTCATTTTGCCTCTTGTAATCACCATTTTCTTAGTCTCTAGGCCAGCATAATCTTTGACTCCTTCCCTGTATTTATTTAGTAACCATATCTCAGATTCTTCAGTTTGCTAATTCTTTGCTTTTCCATTCACTTCACAGCCAGTTACTCTAGCTATGCAAATCTCTCTGGTTCTAATCTCTCCCTGCTCTAATCCATTTCTGTGCTTTGCTGGCAGATCATTCTTATAAAATATTTATTTATTTACATCACTTTTATCATTTTCAGTCTTCTTCAGAGGAATCTATTAAGACTGGATCTAAACTTTTCAGTCATTGGAGATCATCTGTCCCTACTTGATTTACATTGTTCTGCTTATCGCTTTACTTACCCATTACTGTAGTCTTTCAGATGAACTTCATGGCATATATTGCTCCTGTATGTGTACAGTCTCTCTCTCATACTTTTATGCACTTACTCTTCTTGTTCTTGTCAGATTGGCCTAGTTAAATGCTGTTTTATTCCTTTATACTATGTTGTACCTTAAATGCCTTAAGCTCCTCAACACACATAACCTATTTAATACCTTCAATGAAAACTCCAGTTCAAATTGATCTCTTTTCCCTAAGCTCCAATTATATTTATGCCTGTACCACAAAATTTATCATTTAGTCTTTGTTGCTTAATACTTGTATAAGGTTTTTACTTGAAAGACTGTGCTTGATGGCAAAGAATATAAAAGAGTACTGGATTATCCATAAAATTTACTGTCTTGGCTTGTACTGTATTCTTTTATGTGTAAAGTAATTTCTTACAGTTCTGGGTTTTTGTTTCTGTTTTTCATTGGTATTGGGAGAAGGCAAACATAAAAATTCTCTATTTTAATTCATCCTATAGGATACCCTTTTTCAAGGAGAAATGAAGAAGAAAACTGTATATACCCTAAATGTGGGAGATCAGGAGTATGAAGACATGGAAGGTAACCTTTTATTTTTTATAAAGCTTGTGTGTGGAAAGTAAAACTTAGTGTTCTAGCCTGTTCATTTGTATGCATTTCAAAATATACAAGGAGTTTTTTGTTTTCACTTATTTTTATCGTTCTTAAATTCTGAAATAATCTTCCTGAATAAGAAATGCACACATTTTTTACTCCTCTTCCCATGTCTTATTTTTGATTGGCCAAGGTTTTTGGTTTGTTTCAGCTCTTTCTTTTTCCTCTTAAATTTTTATTCCCTACTGGTCTTACAATATACCTTTTTTGGTTTTTGATGTTGAAATCTTTGTTGGTTTTTAAAATAGCATTGATCTTTTCCTCTGCTTCTAAAATTAATATTTGAATATTAACTGTTAATAGGAGAAGAATTAGAACACTTTAACTCTGATCTTTCTACTCTTGATTTATAGGTTATAGTCATCCATTATTGATTTTTTTCAAGCACCACAAATTAGTTGATATTTTAATATAGATAGTGTTTGGGGGAATTCTTCCACGTCTTTTTTTCTTCCTGAGAAAGACTTCTAAGTTCTTTTAGTGAAAGTATGTTGGTGGTAAACTTTAAACTTTTTGTATTTATTTTATTTTCTTCAAAACTGTTCAAAGATAGATATATAATTCTGGATTGATTTGTTTCTCTTAGCACTTTGAAGATATTATTTAACCATTTTCTGGTTTTCTTTTCTTGCTATCAAGAAATCTCTTTTCAGGCAGACAGCTTCTCCTCTGCTGTCCTGTCTGCTGCTCCCTTGGGGTGTATTCAGTAAACTTCTATCTCCTTTGTTCTGCCCTCAGCTGAATCCTTTCACTGCCTTTGCCACTGGCTTCTACCCAGTTATTGCCCCAAATTTGAGGGCTCCCATCTGATTGGACAGACACCTCGTTTAGACACCACAGGAACCCTAAAGACATGAGGAAAGAAGCTGGCAGCACACAATTCCTTTTAAAGCTGGCTAGATCCTGTATTTCCCTATAAAACCCCCCAGTCTCTTCCTCAGGGCAGCCTTGAAGGTTTTTTGAAGTCTTAGACTGCTTCCTTTGCCTGCCAAAGTAATAAACTATTTTTTCCTTCTTAATAAAAAAAAGAAAAGAGAAATCTCTTTTCAGCCTAATTGTCAGTCCCTTATAGATGATCTGTCCATTCCCCCATTTGACTTTTTAAAGTTTATTTATTTTGAGACTGAGCATGCACATGTGCCCAGGGGAGGGGCAAGAAAGCTGGAGAGAATCCCAAGCAGGCGCACTTGGGGCTCAGTCTCATGAACTGTGAGATTATGACCTGAGCTGAAATCAAGAGTTGGATGCACCTGTGGACCCCACATTTTACTTCTTAGATCTTTTTTTTAAATTTTATTATTTATTTTTTAAAATTTACATCCAAATTAGTTAGCATATAGTGAACAATGATTTCAAGAGTAGATTCCTTAGTGCACCTTACCCATTTAGCCCATCCTCCCTCCCACAACCCCTTTCTTCTTAGATCTTTTTATCTTTGATGTTGTACTGATTTGCTACATTTTTTCTGGCATGGATTATTTTTATGTTTCTTGTAGCATACCTATATGTCCTTTATCTGTTAGATCTTTTTTGTTTACTTTCTCCTTTCTCAGTCATTACTGCTTTAACTATGCATATTGGGCTTCAATTAGTGTGTTAGACTTTGTTCTGACCTCATTTCACACTCTTCTTTCTCCTTTTATGTCTCTTACTTTTCTCAAATTTCTTCCAGTTCACAAATATTCTTTCCTTCTGGGTCTAACATGGTGTTTAATTATTCTGTATGGTACTTGAAAATTCTTATATTTGAAGCCAATGGGTATCTAAGTACATTTATAGTTAATAAGTATAATGTATAAAATATTAATATAAAAAATAAATCTAAGTAAATTCTTATTTCTGCTGATTCTTACTCAAGGCAACTTATTTTGTTAGGTTTGGTAATTGTTTGATTATGAACTCACATTTGATAAATTTTATCTCTAGAATTCTGAGGGCCTAATAAGGAATGTTTTTCTTCAGAGGATTTGTATTTGCTTTTCTCTGAAGCCATGTTTTACTTTAGTCCCGTTGGGGATCTTAACTTAATATTAAAGTTTCTCGGGGTGCCTGGGTGGCTCGTCGGTTGAGCGTCCGACTTTGGCTCAGGTCACGATCTCACGGTTTGTGAGTTCGAGCCCCGCGTAGGGCTCTGTGCTGACAGCTTAGAGCCTGGAGCCTGCTTCGGATTCTGTGTCTCCCTCTCTCTCTCTGCCCCTCCCCCACTCATGCTCTGTCTCTCTCTGTCTCAGAAATAAATAAGCATTAAAAAAAAAAAATTAAAAAAAAAAAAAAGAAAGAAAGTTTCTTAGGATCAGTTCCTCTATCTGGGTTGTTTGTAAGGGTTAGTCTGTAGTTATGAACACTAATATGGACACTTGCTCCCAGGATAATCCCCATTTTTCCATTTGCTTTGTGTACATTGTTTGCATTTCAGCTGACCATTTCTTTATTTTTGTTTCATTTTATCTTGAACCTTGGAGTTTCCTTTAGTTTTGAGCCAACAATGGATACTCTTGTAGGTTTAATTGCTGGTGGGCGTTTAGATTAGTACAAACTGTAAGGGATGTAATTTGACAGTATCTATTCAAATTACAAATGTACATACATGTTGATGTAGCAATTTATTTTTTAGAAATTTATCTTGTAGATATGCTGTTTTAAAAATGTGAAATGACAGTTTTTCATCACAGCATTGTTTGTAATAGCCAAAGGTGGAAAACAAAGAGAATGTCCATCAATAATAGGTTAAAACAGAAAAATGCAGACTAGTGTATATAGTGGTCTAGTATTTGTATGAAGAAGGAGCTTTAAAAGGGCATGTTTTAAGAGTTGCTTGTCTATGCATCAAAAAAGAAAAAGGTCTTTGGAAGAACACGGAAGAACTTAATAGTTGTTACTTGTTGCATTCAGTGGGACTAGACGGATGGAGTAGATTTGAATGGGAGATTTGTCACTGTAACATTTTTTTACTTTAAAGTTTTTGAACCATGTTACTATTACTTATTTTAAAATTAATGAAAAATTCTTTTTACTCCCCTATTAAAAAAGCATAAATAAGTAAATGTTGAAGGTATTATGCTCAAGGAGTATGTTTATCTAATTACTCTGTAGTAGGAGGGCCCCTTAGAATATCTAGTTCTGGTTACTGCCACAAACATATGTCATTTGGTTTGGAGAACTTGAAAGCATATGTGACTGCTTTACTTTATAGGTGAAGAAAACAAAGATAATACTGCTACCACTGGTCTGTTGTACAGTGAAGCTGACAGATGTCCTATATGTCTTAATTGCCTATTAGAGAAAGAAGTTGGTTTTCCAGAAAGCTGTAATCATGTCTTTTGCATGACCTGTATTCTTAAATGGGCAGAGGTGAGTATGGCAGTAAATTAAATATTACTGTATTTTAGTTCCCTAACATGGTATCATTCCACCTAGAGTTGGTAATGCCTTTTATAAATTATTTCACAGTAACGTATTTTCCCCTTACTGTGGACAAATTTCCTTGTATTATTCAAATTCGGTTAGTATATTTTCTTCGTTTTTTTTTTTAACACATATTTTTTGTTCTTTATAATTAGATTTTAAGTGCATATCTTTAAAAAAATTTTATGGGAATAATAGATTAAATTTTTTTTCTTTGGTAGAAATGCAGTAATTCATACATGGTGTACTTGACCCAACTCTTGGGATAATACTGCTTATTACTAATATTACCTTCTACCTGTTTTATGCTTTATATTTTTCAGAGCATTTTGTTGTTGTTTATTTAATTTAGTTAGAGAAAGGGTGGAGGGAAGAGAGGGAGAGAGAATCCCAAGCAGGCTCTGTGCTCTTAGTGCAAAGCCTGATGCAGCTCTCGAACTCACGAATTGTGAGATCATGACCTGAACCGAAACCAAGAGTTGGACGCTTAACCAACTGAGTTATCTAGGTGCCCCTTTGAGAGAATTTTTAAATAGATTATTTGATTTCTTCTTATATCAGCTTTGTGGAATAAGAGCAGATGAAGTAGTGTCCTTAGATTTCACAGATGAGGAACTTGAATTTTGTGTTCCTAGAACTTGACCAAGATTTCATAGCTTAAAGAGGAAGAGGTGAATTTAGAACTGTATTTTCTGATACCATTTTTAATATATTGTGAACTAATTTCAGAGTCTGAGTTAGAGACATTACTGAGATTCTTCATAGATAGATAGTAAGTGATTAAGAAACAATACATTTTAGGCTTACAGTGTATTATCTTGACTTAGTTCAGGCCAAGTAGATTATGGTTACTGGTACCTTGAAGATGCATTATAAACCCCATTGTTATGAATTGTGAAGTAAAAATTTATTGTCATAGGAATCATGCTATATTTTTGAGTTAGTAGTTTTTCAGTGTGTAAAAATGAGATGAGATGAATCTCAAAAATATTTTTAGCAGTAGTTGCATTCAAATTGTTTGATGTCCCTATAAGCACATTGGAATTAATTGCTTATTACATAGTTGGGGTTTTCAGAGTTCTGTGTTTTACTTACATTTTCATTAATAGTGTAGAAAGGAGAAGGTAACTGTATACTGACTCTGTGACCTAGTTCTGGAAGGAGGAAAAAAGATTTGTTATACCAGTTGAATTCATAGTATACTTGGAAACAGCTCTAATTAGGTTAAAGCCTAAACTGTTCTTGGCAAGAAGGGACTAAGGAGAGGTACAAATGTATTTTGGGAAAAATATATTGAGTTTAATTTAATTATTTAATATAATTATAAATCTCCATGTATTTGTAAGGGGCATTGACTAATGAAATAGGAAGGCATATTTTTCTCTGCCACCAAATTAAAGATTTAATGTACCTTGGTTTGCTTTGTGATTAAATATTTTAAAACTAGACATTTTGCTTCCAGTAGAGAAGCAACATTATGAGATGGGTAGAAGGTTTCAATTCAGTGCTTTTATAAGATTGTATTTAGTGATCACATAATTGTAAGGTTCAGCAGCATAGTCTGAGTATGTGCTTTTCTCTGTGAAATTAGAATGTATCAAATAGACCTGATTCTTTATCCTTATACTCTACATGCATCTTTAACACAGTCATGGTGTTTATCATGGTGTAAACGCTCCAGTTTTCTTTAGGGTATATATCTAGAAGTGGAACTACTAGTAGGTTGTGGACTGTACATATATTCAACTCCACTAGACAGTCCTAAACTTACCTGTTTTTAACTCTTGTTGAATGTTTTTAAGTTGAAAATACTTGATAACATGTAGTGTTGCAATCAACACTTTTCTTACATGTAATATTTTCTTTCTTTTGTGTTACTGCTTTGGATAGAAACATTTTGCTGAAGCCAAATTGCATTTATTTTATTTATTTATTTATTTATTTATTTATTTATTTATTTAAAGTTTGTTTATTTGTGAGAGACAAAGTGTGAGTGGGGGAGGGGCAGAGAGAGAGGGAGACACAGAATCCAAAGCAGGCTCCAGGCTCTGAGCTGTCTGCACAGAGCCTGACAGAGGGCCACCCAGGCGCCTGGAAATTGCTTTTATTTTACTTTTTTAAATGTTTATTATTTTGAGAGAAAGAGCATGTGCATGGGGGAGGGGCAGAGAGAGAGGGAGAGAGAATCCAAAGCAGGCTCCAGGCTCAGCGTGGAGCCCAGTGTGGGGCTCAAAACCAGCACCATGAGATCATGACCTGAGCTGAAATCAAGAGTTGGTTGCTTAACCGACTGAGCCACTCAGGTGCCCCAAAGCCAATTTGCTTTTAGAAGAAAGTAGGGGGAGGAGTGCCTGGGTGGTTCAGTCAGGTAGGCATATCCGACTCTTGGTTTCAGCTCAGGTCATAATCTTGAGGTTCCTGGGTTGAAGCCCTGAGTCAGGCTCTGTGTTGACAGCGAGGAGCCTGCTTGAATTATCTGTCTCTCTCTCTCTCTGCCCCTAGCCTGTTCAAATGCTCTCTCTCTCAAAATAAATAAACTTAAAAAAAAAAAGTAGGGAGAGGCAGAAGGGTAGTTGTGGTATTGTTTAAACAAAAGTGATTTACCTTGGAAGCAGAGAATAACCAGAGAATGTTCTGAATTATTTCATTGTCCCTAATTGGGATAGCAGCCATCATTAAATTGAGCAGTAACAAGAGCACAATCCAATAAATTATTCATTATAAATAATAAATGAATATTGGTTAACAAAATCACTTAGGCTTTGAATTAAATTTTCTGTTTGAATCTTTTACTGGTATGATAAAAATTGGATGTATTTTGAAGTATATATGTACTTTGACAAATAGAATCAGTTCTCAGATTCACTGGTGTTTTGTTTTGTTTTTTTCATGGCCATTATTTGTTAAGCTCTCGCCTCTCGTTTTCCTTAGCTGCCTTCTGTTTTTAAGGAGATGCATGCAGTTTACTTTGGACTTCATGATTAGGATATGTATATCTGTATTCAGATTCTTGTAACCAGCCAGGCCCTATACAAAGGCTTTTAAAATACTCTTTCATTAAATTACCATGTCAGTGTTTATTTGATATTCAAGGCAAGGATTCTGAACTCTAATTTTTTGCTAAATACTTCAAGGGATAGCCAGAAATGAAAGTAATTTAAAAAAATTGATCCGTTGTGTAAAATTTTACCAATGTTCCTTTTTAGTAAAAAGGTAGAAATCAAAGTGAGTTTTATAGTTAAAAATCTACATAGTAAGAAAACGGTGCAAACTGTATTGAGAATCATCTTCCTAGCTTATGTGTCTTTTAGAAATTGAGCTGAGCTAGCTGAAATTTGTACTTCAGGTTCATTGAGATATGATTCAGAATGGATATCAGGAACCAAAAAGAGGGACTCATTTATTTACTTTCACCTTAATATTTTAGGCATTGAAGAAATTCTCCTCTGTAATTAACTGAAGGTAGTGTAGTGTATTTATTTCAGACACCCTCCTGAAATTTTTCATGCTCCTAAAATACCTATATCCAAAGTCAAATGTAGCTTTAATCTTTTCATGCTCTAAAATTTTGGCTCTGTGGTTATTTTAATACAAAAGCCACGTAAGGACTTTAAAGTGATCAAGTAACTGAGCTTAGTCTGTAGGTATTTTACATAGTTCACCTTACTCAGGGCAGAAAGATTGAGGATAATGGAACCTGTGGTGGCCTTCATGGCCCATAACATAGTTTCCTGCCCTTGGGGACACTACAATAAGTTGAAATTAAGCATGTCCACTATGACCATGTTTAATTTCCAGGAATTCTATTGGTTTGTAAAATAATGATAATGATGTAGAAATAGAATATTGAACTAAACAGTAATTGACACTTGAGGGAAGTTGAAATTTTTATTAGTTTAAAGCATTAGTATTAGAGCTGAGAAATCTGAAACTAAACAAGACCTTTGAAGTGATAAAATATGTATAGCAATGCATTAAAGTTAAGCAGCCACTCAAAAAGTTATTTTATCTAAATTATCTACCTATATTTTACTTATTATATATATATATATATATATCTTACCTGTGTTATACCAATACAGTCTAAGCATATTGACAGTTTTTACTTTGCATAAGTTTAACCTTGATCCTCTGAGTTTGCACATTTTAAAGTAGATAATTAGAAAGGTGAAGGCTAGAGAAGAAGTCTACACACGACTGTAGTAGTGACAGCTGATCATAACTGTGATTTTCTATAGACAGTAAGATACCTTTTCCACACACACACTGGTTGAGAAAATAGGATTTATTATTTGGTGGATTGCCGAGAAGTTAAAATTTTTTGGCCCTAAAACAGTTAAAGTTTAAGGCCTTGGAAGCATTTCATGTTTGAAGTATTTAAGAGTTATTATTATCCTGTTCAAAGGGACACACAATATATGTGATTAGGAGGTTCTTATTACCCACTGGGTTTTTTTTTTTATCTGTAAAGTAATATAAAATATTTCCCTTATCTTGTAAATATTTTTTTAATGTGATTAACTTTCCTGCTATAAGCAGATTATCCTTGTTCAACTTATTTATCCCAGTCCTGCATTTCATATCAAATGCTGACAGCTTCAGTTTGAGAAAGTAAGGTTAATGAAACCAAAATTGGACAACTGGCAAAGGTATGTTTTCTTTTGTGAGGCTAGAAATGAAGAGAGTCTTACTGCGATGAGTACAGTTCTTGAAGAAGTCAGACGACAGTATTCAATGCAGTCGGGTGAGGAATATATTTTTGAATTAATAATACATACCAAAAAATCAGAATATGAACAGTTAGTTGACTTATATCCTGACTACTGATGTGTTTTATATACAGATGTTCTTTTATGCAGTGAGGAGAAATTTACACATTGTGGTAATTAGAATACTTTTAAATAACATAATCAGCAAAGCTTTAATTGTCTGGATTTGTTCAGTTT